AAGGTATAGAATGGTCTCATGACCATTTTGCTCTCCTGTGTGCGTGTGCATTAGGGTACAGCTTCTATTTCCTCCTTCTAAGGTCGGGCTGCCCTTTAACTGAGTGTGTGCTCCTCCTCGAGAGCTAGGGGAAGAGGTCGGCTTCTTTCCCCCACAGGGCTGTAATTGGAAATTTGGTTACTGCACTAAATTTTAAGTTTTGGCACTCATGTAGAGCAGCCATCCATCTGCTGGCGAGACACACTGCCCGGGGCTTTTCAAGAAATCCCTTAATAGTCCTGAACACTAATAATATTTATATACATCGAGATGAGACAAAAATTTACAGCAGGCTTCTGAGGCTCGCTCCAGGACTCTCTAATCCCAGGCATCCCTGTATTCCTTCCCTTGCTGCCTCCCGGAATCCTCTGTGCTGTAGAGAGAAGAACACCGCTTTCCTCCCTGTAGCCACCACAGATTTTTGGAGTCCGTCCTCTCGCCAACAAGTTGGCTCTCTTCCATCTTCTCCCCTTCTCTCTGCATACCCCTTTCGTCTCCACCGTACAGAATGTTAGATGTGCATTTGTTCACAGTTGGCCTCACTTGGTGTTAAGGGCCCATTGATCTGGTGGGGGCCCACTGATCTGGAATGTGCCTCAAAAGAATAGTTCTTACTGTCAAGACAAGGTTTTTGATTACTGGTTGGGAGGAAGATCCTCATCATAAGCATGGAACAGGGCTCAGCACACTTCACATTTAACAAGTCCCTTGTCAGGTATTTATTTCTATTTCTATTCCTATTTCTCATCCGGGGACACTGTAGCATTTACATTTGGAGGTAACTGATTCAAGACAGTGCACAGGTTATTTTTCCCTGCTTTTACATGATATGGGCTTTTATTACCACATTAGTTATTTGACCTTATTATCTGTTGTGATATGTTAGGTTTTTTTTTCCTATGTAAGTAAAGGGCTCCATGAGTTGACATTTGACCTCATTAATAATCTCTGCTGATAATGGTGAGATTCCTAATCAGTTATCTCTTCCTCTAATCACAGAGCATGGTGTTGGATGGCTGGAATGGCTCCTAAATAGAGCTTTTAGCTTGTTTTATTGAACTTTGTGACTCTGTTATGCTGTGTAAGCCATAGAGGGATGGCCTAATCGGCAGCAGATCCCTCTCCTCTGGCCGTTCTTCTCCTGCCTATTCTGCCCACTCTGGTTATCAGCCAGTGCTATGCTACATGATGACTTTTCTAGTGTGAAAACCTAACCCTTGCCTAAAGCCCTGAGTGATGTCCTGCTCTCCACCGTTTGGTGGGCCTGTGTGACTCTTTGAGCTGGCCCCATTTGGTTCCCAGCACCATCCCAGCTGGTGTTTACATGTGAGATCCTTTTGATCCTGATGCCCCACCCCGTCATCCTTCTGCTTGCAGTGCCAATCTCCTTGTCTTCAGAGACCGTTCCAGGCACCCAAGGCATTAGGAACACGATGTGCCTACTCCTTCTGCTTCCCTGTGTGGTGTCCTTTGTGGAGGTCATGGACAGGGTGGACATTGCTTGGCACACAGGTGCAGCACACATGCGGTAAATACTGGGTGGGAAAATAAACACAGAATAGATCAGTTCACTTCTGTCATTGATGGATTGAAAATGGAAATCAACACAAACAACTTCATTTAGATCTCGAAACTTGACGTGACTTGTACAATGTATATAGTTAATGAAATCATCAAACTGCATCATCTTCAACTATGTCATTTTTCTATGTCTTTGAGTGAAAGTTCAGTGATACCCTGGTAGGCTGCTAAGTGAGCTCTGTTTTACTGTCTTCAAGATAATTGCTACAATAAACAGTCTCTATATGGCATTAGGGGCTTCTGCAGCATTTTTCTCTTTTGGTCTGACCAGAGATAACTAACTCCTGTTTGTGAGCTAGAATGATGTTCAGAAACAGCCAGAAGCTAGTTACAGTAAACAAATGTCATAAACCAGCTGCGACTTTCCACCTTCTGTTGTGCATAGCTCTGAAGACAAGTCTGTGTGTGATCAGTTCAGTTGAATGTAGTAGATTGAAAGCTGATTCTCTTCACCTGAAGAAGTTCAAAGGTTAGCAACCCAGTGTTAGTCTAGAGCAATGGTTCTCAACCTTCCTCATGCTGTGACCCTTTAATTCATGTTGTGGTGACCTCCAGCCATAAAATGATTTTGTTGCTATGTTATAACTTTGCTACTGTTATAATGACTAGTAATTGTGCTACTGTTATGTATCATAATGTAAATATCTGATAATGTAGATTATCTGATATGTGATTGTCTAAAGGTGTTGTGACCCATAGGTTAAGAACCACTGATCTAGAGACTCCAGCCAAGTTTCTTTGATCTCACACTGTGTTGCCTCATGGTCCAAGATGGCTGCCTGAATATCCATACATTATTTCTGTGTTATAGCCAGCAAGGAGAAAGAAGGACAGATTTTTTTTTTTTTTTTTCATGACAGGATCTTTCTTTGTAGCCTTGGCTATCCTTGACTTAACTTGATTTTGACTTGATTTTGCTGGCATCAAACTCATAGAGATACACCTGCCTCTGCCTCCCTGAGTACTAGGATTACAGGTGTGTGCCATTGTGCCCAGATAAGTATTGTGATTTTAAAGGAGTGTTCGAGGAAGCACTAGTAAAATTTTTGCTTATATCTCATGACATAGAACTTTAAACACATGGTCATATTCTAGCCACAGTGGAGGATAGGAGGCATAGGAGCCAAAGAGAGGACAGTATACCCAGCTAACTACCCAAAACTCCTGCAGGGGGAAATGATCGGGGTGGGAATGGGGAGAGAAAGGCCCTGATGCTTCTCACAGGGACTTAATTATACACAGCAGAATATGGATATACTTATGGAAATGCACAGCAGATCATCTGTTGGGGTGTGTATGGTGGATCTATGGTCACTGACCGGGCCTTTAACTTAGCTTACAGTAGATGGTCCCTGGCCAGAGAAGAAGGCCAGATTATTTATGCCTTGGTAGTGTCATGAAAACTTTCTGGCTTTCATATGAGGTGATGCTACTGATTTACTGATTTACGTGTTGACGTTCTGGTGTCTGTTTTTAAATGCAATGACACAGGAATTCCTGGATGTGACAGACTGGTGTGAGACTTCAGAGGACAGGCTGGCTTGGCACAGTCAGTTCTGAAAACTGAGTCTGATGTCATGCAGAAGTGCCCACAAAGATGGCTGTGCTCATGGATCAGTAGGAATCGAGGGTTCACTAGACGCTTGGACATGGCTATCATGGCAGGTGTCATGGCACTGTTACATGGTGGTGCGATTCACAGTCAGGTCTCAGGAGTGCTTTCTGCGTGGCTTGGTCTTTACTTGCAAATGTTTGTATTTACACGCGCATGCACAGACGTGGAAGGATCCGGAAAAGACCACATGCTTAGCTGTTTGGGGGCAGATGAATTCGTGTGTTCTTTTTGTTAACTGTGATTACTGGGACTTGTTGGGTTTGGGTTTTGGTTTGGGTTTTGGTGTGTTCTGGTTTTTGGTTTTTAAGAAAAACATGGAACCTTGACTCACTGTTACATCACAGTTATATTTATATAGTTTTGTAATGTTTCCCAACAATGCCCCTTAAAAAAAAATAGGGTGCATGTAATGCTAACCAGATTTCATAGTTTGTTGGTTTATAGTTTGTCGTTCACGAGTAAGGCTCACAGGGACGTAATTATACACAGCAGAGTATGGACAAATTTATGGAAATGCACAGCAGATCATCTGTTTGGGGTGTGAAAGGAAGATCTGTGGGCACTGACTGGGCCTTTAACTTAGCCAGGCTTACAGTAGATGGCCCTGGGGTGCAGAGGCTCTGTGTTCTACCATTCTGTACCATGTGATCTGTGACGTGCTTGTGGTCTCACTGTTGTATTGGCAGAGAAGTTACTGTCTTCGCCTTTCTGGGGTAGAGGCTTTGAGATGGTACAAGTAGGCACAGGCGTTACCAAAGACCTTTTATTGTGAGCTTCATCCTCTAGAGCAAACGAGCAGTTTTGCACCTACAGCGAAGAGTAGTCCCTCCTCCATAGCCTTGCGTTCCTTTTCTAGAGTTCGAGAAGAGAGCGGCTGCAGCCACACATTGCTGTAAAATATGTGGCTATAGTTTGCTGTAACTTAGAAGTTTTGACCACTGTCATGTTGTATTTGTTACTTTTCTGTTGCTGTGATTTAAAAAAAAAAAAAAAAAATACCGATAGAAAGTAAGTTAGAGAAGAAAAAGTTACTCTTGGCATACAGTTCCAGAGGAGGTGGGGTCCATCACAGTGGGGAGGCCACGGCTTCAGGACCATGAGGTGGGCCTGTGGGGCAGGAAAACCGTGATCACATTTCACGCACACACAGGAAATAGAGAAGTGTGTCCAGGCTATAAAACCTCCTTTACCTCAGCAAAGTACTTCCTCCCTCCCTCCGGCGGGGCAGGGCTCTCTCTCCTAAAGGCGCCTGTCCCTCCCAAACAGACCACCAACCAGGGTCTCATTGCTCAAATCCATGAGCCTGTATGGGGCGTTTCTCCTTCCGGCCAGCACACTTGCTACGCCTTCTCTCTAAATCACTTAGAATGGATTCTTCATACAGAAGGAGGGCTGAAGAACATGGTGCCTTTTGTAGTACTAGTGGCACATCTTGTCTGTATTTCTCTGTTGTTCACCTGTGCCACAGGCTCCCTTTTTATGGGGGCAGTCACCCTGTTTTACAGCTGATTAAAGAGGTCAGGGCTATTAGAAGCTAATGGCTCATCCCATAGCAAACTAGGTTATTCATAGGAGAAAATGGTCTTGGGATGTGTTGTGTCTTTTTCATGTGTGGGATATGGGGATGGTATTATCTGTGCAGATTTCAGAGACGGTGTGCCATTCCGAGCCTGTGTCTGGCACATCATCTAATGTGCTGGTGGCAGATGACCTAGGGAAGGCTGTAAGTCCTTCATCTCACCACCCTCTTCCTCTGTCCCCACAGTGTGCCCAAGTGTGTGCGGGAAGCGAGCATGCACCGAGAACAATGAATGCTGCCACCCAGAGTGCCTAGGCAGCTGCCATACCCCTGACGACAACACAACTTGCGTGGCCTGCCGACACTACTACTACAAAGGCGTGTGTGTGCCTGCCTGCCCACCTGGCACCTACCGGTTCGAGGGCTGGCGCTGTGTGGACCGTGATTTCTGCGCCAACATCCCCAACGCTGAGAGCAGTGACTCCGATGGCTTCGTCATCCATGATGGCGAATGTATGCAGGAGTGTCCCTCAGGATTCATCCGCAACAGCACCCAGAGGTCAGTGGCTCTTGTCCCCAGACCCAGGAGGGTACCTTGCTGCATTTGACAGAGGGGTAGGACCATGCAGAGGTTCATCCAGATGGGTCTGTTGGAGAGCCTGGCTGAGCTTGTTTTAATGAGAATCTTGGTGTGGTGGGGTCTGTTTCATTTCTTACTTGTTGGCTTACTAACTTTTCTTGGAAAGCGCCTTGCTAGCATCAGAGTAAGAGTAAGAATTGGCCTGCTGGCCAGGTGTCCAGATAGCGTCGCTCTCCGTGCGCCATCAGAGCTAATAAAGTGTGAGAGGTGGAGATGGTAACTGCAGACACTCCCCTACAGTTTGCTACTCTAGCCCAGTGAAAGAAAGCTTTGGCAGTGTAAGAGGCAGTATAAGCCTGAGCTCTGAGCATGAACTAGCAGTCAGGTCAGCCATGTTTTTCTGCCAGCTCTTCCTCTAAGCTTCAGTGCCTTCGGCTGTCTTTGTGACCACTGGCTTTTCTTTCTACACTCTGAGGCTGCACTGTGGAAGTGGAGATGTTCGCGACTGAACAACTGGTACTTCCACAAACTTGTCATGGGCTGATATTCTTGAAGACGGGATGTTATCACTCTGGAAACAAAGGACAATCAGAGGTCTGGGGGTTCTGTTACCCTGCCCTGAATAGAGTGAGGGAAGGTTCTGTTATAACTCATTCCCTGCCTCCTATGCTGTATACACATACACCTTTCTGAATCCCTCAGCACACAGCTGGGAACCTCTGAACGCAGCTCATACTTAGCTGTGGAATGCCCTTGAACCAGTCTCCAGCCTATTGGAGGTCTTAGATCTAGACTCCATCCTGTGGGAGGCCATAGACCCAATCCCTGGTACATAGAAGGCCCTAGGTCCAGCCTCCAGCATTGCTAACAATTCTATAAGTGCCAGATGCATAGTTTTGCTACAAAGAATAGTTTTGCTTTAGTCGCTTTCTATAAAAGATGTCCAGCTCATCTTCAATAAGAGGATTTTGGATTATTTTTCTGTAATGTTTGGCTGTGTCTACTATAAGCTGGATCAAATCAAAGATTGAATTTTTTCTTTCATAATGCTAATGTAAAGTCCTATCTGTTTTAATTTCTGTACCATTATAACAGTAAAAGGGAAGAGATTAAATATTTTTAAATGGTTAAGTAAGCCAGGGACTACAGTGACTCAGAATTGTATAATATAGTCTACCAAAAATAAGTCTTCCATTATTTTACTCATGTGTTGCCAGTCTCTGTTGGTCAACTTTCTCCTACTGTAACAAAATACTTGAGGTAATCGGTTTATTTAAAAGAAGAAAGGAGGAGGATGATGATGATGATATTGATAATGATAATTGGTTTTAGCTCATGATTTTGGAGGATTTGATCCGAAGTCAATTGGTTCTGTTGCTTTTGGCATGTGCCAAGGACTGGCAGACCTCCCAGTATGCCCTACCTTGTCAAGCTGATGATTAAGCCATTACAGAATGGGCCTTGGAGAGCACGCCAGATCCAGTCACAATCTTAGGATATAAAATGGCTGTATCAGTCCACATCTTGAGCCAAACACCAGCGTCTGGCAGTAAGATGCTCGACCACAGTCCAGACACTGCCTTCATTCTAGGGCTGGGAGCAGTGAGGGATAGCTGGCCGGTGGGGGGAGAGCTGCTCAGTGAACTCAATATTAATGGGATAAAGCAGTGAAATGTGGAGCACCTTTGGCGGCCGTGCCAAGGTGTGCCACTAAGAAGATCTTATGCTACACAGCAGATCTAATATAGCAGGTTTATTACGAAAGGGGAGAGAGCAGAAGGCCATCTCAAAGTGGGGACATGAGGGAGAGGGAGAGGCAGACAGGCAAAAAAGGAAACGAGGGAGGGGGCTTGGGAGAGACTGAAGAGAACAGGGAACAAGAGAGAGAAATCTGGGCTGGTGGGGGTGCTTTTCTGTACCACACCCGGCGGACCTGGTGGTGCTGGATGATTTAATCTGAGGGCAGGCTGGTGGAAATGCCTGATTGCTAAAAACTATGGTATCATATTTGACCTGCAGGTTTATTTCCTGTCTCTCCTCAAAGGCATTCAGCTGTGCTCCAGCATAGGGAGGATGCTTAGTGTCCATAGGAGCTGGCTCTCCTTCCCAGCAGTGTGGTCTTGCTCCCTGCTCTTTCTCACCGTCTATAACAAAGTAAAACCCCATCAAGAAATAATAGCTGTTTCTCTCTGAACCTTTGAAGCCTATTTAGCATGTACATGAAAGTATTTTTTAAATACTGTTTATTCTTTGTCTGTAGCAGAGTGAATTTTAGGACGCTTGAACTGTAAATATGTAATCAGAATGAGTCCTTGTAAAAAGCATTTTTAAGTGCTAAATGATTCCTAGACGTTTTAACAAAGGATTCAAGGGTGGTTCAGATTTGTCTATTTGAATAAAAGATGGGGAAGGAACAAGCATAGTGTTACCTTACAACCCTGTTGACCCTGAACATTTACTTCACATAGATGTTCTTAACTGTATTTGTACTACCAGGAAGCGAGGACAACTTGGGTGTCCTATAAAAGGTAAGCAGTAAAGCAGGCTGCGGTACATCCACACATGGGGTATTAACTCAGCAAGGGGAAGAGAGGATTAGTTTCGAGAATATTCTGCAACGGGAAGTACAGCGACCTCATAAGTCGCGCACTGTGTGATTGCATTTATGTATTATTCCCAAATGGAACTTAGAGAACAGCTTAGCAATTACCAGGCGTTAGGGATAGTGAGGTCTGGGACAGGCAGAGGGTAGCCACAAATGGGTGACACATAGGGACTTTGTGGACTTTGAGTTGTCCTGGATCTTGACTACAGTGTGGATTTTGCAAATCTATCTAAACAGGTGGAGAAATGCACAGAACCGCGCACACATGCCATTCTTAGTTTTCACTGCTGTACTGTCATTGTGTGTCAGATGTAGCAACAGTTGGGAGAGTTGGGCGAAGGGTACATGGGTGCTCTGTACTATCTCTGCATACTCTGTGTATGAAGCTGTAGTTATTCCAAAGTATGTGTTTGCTTGCTTGTTTGTTTGTTTGTTTGTTTGTTTGTTTGTTTTAAGGGAGAGCTGGGTTTTGTGTGGTATGTAGTTAAATTAGAAAAACACAGCACAAAGAAAGTTGAGAAGAAAACCCCTCCCAAGGCTAGAAATGAGAACTCTCTTAGTTACTTTTCTATTGCTGTGATAAAATGCCATGACTGTGGCAACTTATAAAACAGTATGTTTGTTTAATTTGGCTTGTGGTTTAAAAGGGTAGAATCCAAGATGACAGGGAGAAGGAAATACTGGGAGCTCAGCATGAGTGTTTCAAAACCTTAAAACCCACCGCAGTGGCACACCTCCTGATCCTTCCCAAACAGTTCTACCAACTAGGGACTTAGTACACAAACACGTGGGCCTACAGCAGCCACTCTCATTCTAACACCATAAGCATGTTGCACATGGTATTACGGAAAGCCAACTGTCCCCCACATTGGCTGGTCCAGTTCCCATGGGACCCTGTGAAAACCTCAGCCCACTCCCCTAGCAGGAAAGAGAAAGGTACTGAAGAACTACTGGTTACCTGTCAGCTTTTAAACAAAACAAGGTTGTATGTAGTACTTTGGGAGAAGGTGGAGGACTTTAGTAAAAGCAGCCATAATTTTACTCTTGATTTTCTTTCTCTTCATGAAGTTTCACAGGCTCATTCATGAACGATAATTTAAATGTAGCACTACCCCCCCCCATACCTCCAGAACGTTGGGTCATTAGTCTCATTCAGAAACCAGCTTCTCAGTCCTGAGTGTGTATACAGCTAAGATCCCAAAAGGTGTGGCCCAAGGCTTAGCTTTTTTCCTCTGCCATTTCCTAAGTGATGGTCAATAGGCAGGAAGCACACCAGTCTTTCTGGCTCCTGCCGCTGTGTGGCACATTTGGACCAGGACCTCATTACAGAGCAGAGGAAGTTCCTGGCTTTCATTGTGTGTGCAGCAAAACGTTTGGATCAGTTTACAAGTTTCTACAAAGCACTGTCAAGATATAATTTCACTCAGCAAGAAAATAATGGATCTGTGCTGTGCAGTGTGTCCGTCTGAATCCTTTCCTGGGCTTTATGCACTCTGACATTGGGAATGAGACTCCCGTTAGTGGCAAGATGCAGCTCTTCCTCCCCTACCACTCCCAGTTTTTCTGGAGCCCCAGAGTGCCTTTCTGTGAGTCTGTGTCACCCAGGTAGACCAGCTGGCTACCCAGTCACTAGCCTGTGATACCCACATGCTTCTTGTCTAGAAATGAGCAATATGCTTTCCTCTTCCACAGTATATGTTCCCTCCTTGTGGCTGCAGCTTGAATGGCTTGCCCTGATAGGAGATACTATGCGACCACTTGGATGTTTCAGCATGGTTCTTTCATGAAATGTTGCTGTAATAACAAACAAAAGGCCTTCTTGCTTCTCTGTTTTGTTTTGTTTTGTTTTGTTTAATGCAAGAAGATAAACTCAATTCTGTGCTTTTTGGGCTGCTCTTTATCTTCAACAGCATGTACTGTATCCCCTGTGAAGGCCCCTGCCCCAAAGTCTGCGGCGACGAAGAAAAGAAAACAAAAACCATTGATTCAGTTACTTCCGCTCAGATGCTCCAAGGATGCACCATCTTGAAGGGCAATCTGCTTATTAATATCCGACGAGGCAGTAAGTATCCCGCCAGACCAGCGGCCGCGTCTCCTGGTTTACTTGCATCAATGCTCTTCCTGGCTCAGTCCTTTAGTCACAACCAAAATACAGGCTTAGAAGAACAGCATAGGATGTAAATAAAGCCTCTTATGTGACGTCTCTCTCACGAGTTTCCCTGAAAGATAAAATACAGATTGAAAGGCAGCCTGTATTTGAGCCATTAGCCCAGGATCTTTTCTGGTAAAGAGGATCAGCCTCAACTTTCTGCTACTCACAATTTACGTAGGAAAGGCCCATCCTGACACACACAAACCTCAGCAGACCCCAGTGGATCAGACGCATGAGCCAGCTCACATTAGCTGCCGCTGAGTTCACACATCTGTCAGCCTACAGCCTTTGGGTTACTTACCTCTACTGAGGAGGCTGAGCAAAGGAAGGTACTTACTAAGTTAGGTTGTTAGAAGTCTTAAAGAATGATCTAGTTTACTTCTGAGAGCCAGAAAGACATGCCATCCACACCTCAAGCTGTGGTCTGAGTCCTGCAGGCTCCCTTTCACTGGCAATATAGACGGTGTTCCTGGTGTGCTGCTTTAAAGTTGCATTCATCAACAGTATGTCCCATCAGTGGTGGCATGACCCTGCAGGCTTCTCCTCTCTAGTCTTTGACTGACTGAGAAAGGCCCCTGGATACACCGCTCTTGGTCCTCTGTCATGGGGGCCACTAGGTTGCCTCCTGGAGGTTTCAAAAGGTAGAATACTACAGGCAGGAGACTGTATCCTAATCTTTATTGGTAAATCTTTAGGGAAAGAAAGTTTTTCATTGCTTGAGAGAAAAAGGTATCCTATTTTTTAAAATGTATTTCTATTTACTTATTACTTATTTAGTGACCCTAAATAGTTGTTAAATAAGTGAATTATATTCTTAGAGTGTAGCAGTAATAGAAACATGTTTTTTTGTTTGTTTTGTTTTGGTGGTGGTGCTTTCTTTGTAGGTTTGGGGGTTTGTTTGTTTGATAAGTCCTTAGTTTTATTACCTACTCTTTATCCTTCTACTTTGGACCCTATTCTCCACACAAGAATTCTTTTTTAAATTTTAAATTTATTTTTTTTATTAATTACAGTTATTCACTTGCCACACAAGAATTCTAACCTTTATGATACCAACCAGTTTGTATTTTTGCTCATACTAGATTTATTTTTTTTTCAGTTTATTTATCCCTATGATATGCCTTTTAAAAATTCATAAACCCTACTGTTTTATATCTTTCTGTTGTGGGAGGTAAATTCAGTCCATGAAGAAGTATTATCCACAGGGTGTGGTAATGGATGCCTTTATCCCAGCACTTAAAAGGCAGAGGCAGGCAGATCTCTGTGAGTTCAAGGATAGCCTGACCTACAGAGTGAGTTCCAGGTTAGCCAGAGCACACACTGGGGTCCTAGGTTCAATTCTTGGGGAATAAAACAAGAGAATTAGCTGCAGCCACTCTTTTTTTCCAGGTTGAATTTCCTGTAGCCATTGGCGTATCAGGAGCACTGTCTATATTGCAAATGAAAGGGGGTCTGTGGCGCTCCTCTATAAGACTAGTATAAATATAAATGGAAAGCCTTGCCCTCTGATTCTTTTTATCACACCAAAGGAGAATCTTTTACTAAATCAACCATCTCACATAGTAAAATCTCATTTAGTGGACCTCATCTAATTTATCACAGTCTTCAAATTTCGTCATGAGCTGAACTGAAGTTTAGATTTCGTATTAACTATGTTGAAAGGTGGATAAGCAAAATAAAAGAAAATTCAGTGTTTCTGTGTCATATTGTATTAGCAACTTTCCTGCCTACTGTCTGCTTAAAGAAGTAATTGTGTGAGCCGAGTAGAAAACTTAGAGATTTGTTATTTATTTATTTGTTGGTTTGTTTACCTATCTATTTATTTATTGTTAAGCTACTTGCAGGTCAGGTATAGATATCCAGGGAGTGGGAGCAGGAGGATCAGAAGTTCAAAGTCATCTTCAGTCTAGGATACATGAAACCCTGTCTCAGCAGTGGAAAAAGAGTAACTGTCTGCAAGCACCATTACTGTAATATTGGTGTGTTTTCCCCCAGCCCTGGAATCTTTAAATACAGACTTCCAAAGCTTTGGAACTGCAGGTACAGCAAAGGCAGTTCCTGCTGAAACGGGGAGGGTTTGCTCCGTCCCGTCATGGCACTGTGGAGGCAGGACTGCCTGTTACAGAGCTTATTTAAAAGGCGCTCCCTCGGTTTGTCAGCTGGGGCTAATTAGCGGCCTGGCATTTCTGATTTCACGTTCTGTTAATCAGCTTGGCAACTGCACTAGCCAGCCTCCTAGAAGTCTGCCTTCCCACCTCAGAGATCTTGTCCCCTCGTGGCTGTTGGAAAGTGAAGACACTGTGTGTTCCACAGTGACGGTTGGTCCTGTGCCAGCTTTCTCACTGAGCTCCCCCAAACAAGACCTGCTTCGCATTTCCTCCACACCTGTGTGCATCCAAGTATAATAGGCCACCTGGCCAGAGGACTACTCAGTGACACGGACTCCTTCTTTTCTAGATAACATAGCCTCAGAACTGGAGAACTTCATGGGGCTCATTGAGGTGGTGACCGGCTACGTGAAGATCCGCCATTCCCACGCCTTGGTCTCCTTGTCCTTCCTGAAGAACCTCCGTCTGATCTTAGGAGAGGAGCAGCTAGAAGGGTAAGTACTGTATTCTCCTTCTACAAAGTGAACTGTGCTTCTTTCTACATTTCAGTAGAGAGAAAGAGAGCGAGAGAGAGAGAGAGAGAGAGAAAGAGAGAGAGAGAGAGAGAGAGAGTGTGTGTGTGTGTGTGTGTGTGTGTGTGTGTGTGTGTGTGTGTGTGTCAGAAGGCAGCTTGTGGGAGTCAGTCTGTCCTTCCATGATGTGAGTCCCAGGGATCAAACTTGGGTCTTCATGCTTAGCAGCGCTGCTTTTACCCTCTCCCGCTGAGCCATCTCACAGCCCCAAGTAACGTAACTTCTCAAACTTACTTGGGTTACATACCCCAATAAGAGCCTTTTGTTGCTAAGCGGGAACCCCGGGCTTGCCCCTGCTACCTCTCTGCTCAAAGTCCTACATGGAGCTGTGATTTGGCCACCTTCAGGGTACTGCCAATTTGTAAAGTAGGTATCTTCATTCCTATGGTTTAGTCAGTCAGGTGGCGTATTACATTAGTTACTTTTTGTTGATGTGATAAGACACCATGACCAAAAATGATTTAGTGGAAGAAGGAACTTATAATGGAGACAGTCCGTAACAGCAGGGGAGGCATGGCAGCCAGAAGGGGAAACAGAAGGGTAGAGCTCACATGTCCTAACTGCAAACATGCCACAGAAAAGGCAGGCTGGAAATGAGGTGAGGCCATGAACCCTCAAAAGCCCAACCTCCTGATGCACTTCCTCCATCAAGGCCGCACCTCCCGAAAGCACCACAATCTCCCCAAACAGCACCAACAGCTGTGGACCTGTGTTCAAATATGTCATCCCACAGGTGACATTTCTCACCCAAACCACCACATTGTGTCTCAGTGAGACCACTGAGTTAGCAGTCAGCAATAGTCCCAGGGTGACAACCTGCAGTGTTTAACTCCCAAGGAAACCATGATTTATCTGACACTTACCTGCTCCAGTGTGCTGTGCTCAATGTCATAAAACCAATAGAACAATACTGGTGTGTGTGAGCATGTCAGTAAGTGTGTATGTACATGGGCGCATTTGTGCACACCAGCCTGTGGGGGTTCAGGGAGACGCTGGATGTCTTTCTCCCTCTTACTTTTGAGGCTGTCTCTCACTTAACTTGGACATCAACAGTTTGTAGACTAAGTGGCTGGCAATCGTCAGATCTAGTTCCCTGTCCTTCCCAAGCACTGAGATTCCAGGTGCATCCTCTGTAGGCTCCGGGGATGAGCAACCATCTGACACCTGCGCCGTCTCCTCCTCAGATAGAGAAGCGTAAAGACTTGCAAAGCATGGACAGTTCATTTTATTATAAAGATATCTCAACTTGCAGAGCTTGTCTGTTGATTAGCTTTCAGCATTTTTTTATTGACCAGGTTGTAGTATTGGTAGGGGTTTTGCTTTCTGCACAGAAATGCTTTACAGGCTGGGTTTTAAAGCAGCCATGGGTTTCTCCACAGAGGATAGATAAGCTGGGGCTTTCCGCACGCATGCACAGCTTTTCTCCCGCCTCCAGCCTGTGTGCATCTTTGCTGGCCCCTTTATATGGCCCACTTTATATGGCTCTGGTGTAGCTTTGCAGTCTTATAAATGTACCACTTAAGGAATAAATTCCCTTAGGAAGAAAGTGATGGGAAGATTCTAGGAATGTTTGTCCTTGCTAGTGTGTCTGGATGCAATTGTAGCGTGAGGCTTTCTCCACAGCCTCCAATTTTTCTCAGACCAGCTCTGTCCTAAGTTCTGTCCCCTGGTACAGCCCGAGAGAGGAGAGAGATGCTCACCCTGTCCTTGAAAAGCACCGTCTTCAGTAACCAGAAGCATCTGAAAAACACCTTCCACCTTGTAAATCTAGGCAGCTGCGAGGTTCCCTGCCCAGAGTGTCTCAGTCATTACTATGGCTACACCTACGTGAGGCCATGTCCACTGTTAGTTCCTTGTCGCGTGTATTAAATTTTAAAATGAACAGTAACTCAGTCTTGTTTCATTACTTCCCCCACAGTGGATCTGTGTTCTGGAATCCCTGGCTTCAAGACACACTCTTTCTTTGGCAGATTAGTGTCTGTCAGATTTGCTAGTTGCTTAAAGAGACACGTTTCTCCCCCTCCCCGCCCTTCTCAGACTGAGCAAGTGATAGGCATAGAAAGTAGAGAAGAAGCTTTAATTATTTTTATTAGGATTATTAGGATTATTATTAGGATTATTATTTTTATTAGGATTATTACCATTATGGGTTAACTAAAAGTATCATGCACTTAGATGTAGCTGAAAATTGGAGGCTGTTGTGGTTTTTTTTTTTTCCCCAAGAATATTTACAGCATATTTTTCATTATTTGAAACTTAGACACGATGTATCAGCCAAGTCTTTTTAAGGATGCTTGTCTTTGGGGAGCTTCCCTGGAAAGCCTTGGGCCCCGCCCTGCTGTTAGAAGGGAGGGGAGGCCTGGAGACTGCTGCTGAATGCAGTGGTTCTCAGCCCTCCTAATGCTGTGACCCTTTAATACAGTTCCTTGTGTTGTGGTGACCCCCCCCCCCAGCCATAAAATTATTTTTGCAGCTAGTTCATAACTGTAATGTTGCTACTGTTACGAATCCTTATGTAAATATCTGATATGGAGGATATCTGATGCATGATCCCAGGGGGGTCGCTCCCCACAGATTGAGAACCACTGGCTTAGAGGCTGTCTCTGGCCAGGACACTTAGGTCTCTCATAGTAGCCATCCCTGGTTTGCCTCCCTTCGCCTGAGATAAACTCCCAAGCCCTGTTGGAGGGGTCACCCGTAGCAACAAACTCACCTTTGTCTCTTCTCGCATAGTATCAGGCTCAGCCGCGTCACTTCTTCCTCATTTATTCAATAAAGGAAAGAAGGGATGGTGATAAGCAGATGAATGCAGGCAGAGCAAAGCACAGCTCGCAGAGTGCCCCAGGGGGAAAAAAAAGAAGGTGCTCTGGGAATCGGAGGAAGAACCTGGCAGAGGAGGTCAAACAGGCCTCTGAGGACTGCTGGCCTTGAGGGGTTCCTAGGACTGGAACGCACAAGAGCAGAAGAGACAGGATCAAAGAGTGACATCCTGGGCCCATCTCCCACACTGAGGAGGTGGGCGGAACTAGAATTACAGGAGGCATTGCAGCATGCAGGTGTGGGGTTTTTCATTTAGGTCAGCCACCAGACATACTGGCGCTTCTGAGGAGAGGTGTGTCAGCAGAGCCTGTCTGACATTTCATTTCAGGGAACTATTGGTTTAAGCTAAGATAACCTCTCTCCCATGTTTCCAGGAATGTGTGATACATTACAGTTATGGGGGAAGGGAAGTTCTGCAGCACCTTACCAGGTTGAACCTCACCCCCAAGTCAGACAGTAAACTTGGGGTACAGGGAGTTACAGGTTTTAGCTTGAGTACTTTTCTAAGTATTTCTGTGTACTTTCTGCACATGGCGAGGATTGGAAATGACGACGTAATGCCTGTAATCCTTCTAAAGTGAATATCCCCAGGCCACTTCCGATTTTATATTTTTAAGCATTCTTGCCTCAACTCATTCTTGAAAGAATCTGTTTCTTGAGCTTCTCATATGGCTAGTGAGAACGACATAAATGCTTCCGTTTTGTTTGGGAGGGCACTCTGTTTTGATAAAAAGAAGAGCATTCCTCCATGAAGGTACCGTTCACCCTCAGCTGTCCAGAAAACACTGTGGTCGTTCTTGGCCTTCTGAGCAGATCCCAAGAACTTGCTGGTCAGCTGACTTGCCTAACCTAAACCTCAGTGAGTGTCAGGTTCTATGAGGAAGCCTGTCTCAGGGCAGTGAGGCAGAGAGTAACAGGAAGATGCCCAGTGTCATTCTGTGGCTTTCACCTGTGTCTAAAGGCATACACATCTGTATACACACATGCAGACTCACAAAGGAGAGCAAGGGTTTTCTCAAAAGTGGTGGTGTGGTGCAGTGATAGAGCACTTAACCTGTAGCGCATGAATGCCTGCCACCCTGATCTCTGGCTATACATGGCGGTAGTAGGAAGGAATGAAGAAGGGAAGCCAGGTGCTTTTTTTGTGGGACAGGGGGGCTGGTGAGAGCATTTTCCCTGAATAAGAGAGAAAATATTTCCATTATCTGGAAAATGGTCTACTTTAGACAACCTTGGTGAGAGGACAATGAAATAAGTTAAAAGTTCAAGTTCTTTGGTACTGCCAAGGATTGGTGTCTTGAAAATAGCAAAAATACAGGAAGGTGGCAGGTGACAAAAGTTGGAGTTCTTACATTTTATGCATCTCTGCCCTGCTCCGTTTGACTTTGCAAGCTAAGTATATTTTGTAATGCCTCTTGCAGCTCCGGGACTAGACCCTAACATAACCACATTTTAGCACTTACTTAGGACTTTAAAAATACATACAATTAATCATGTTGCCTGGCAATGCTAGGCTGTACCTAGAGATACAAAAACATGCACATTCAAATCTCATGTGTGAATGCTCAAAGCAACATTTTTCATAATAATTCTCCCAAAATAGCGCACAGGGTATAATCTGAGGGTTCATCAGAGAATAAATGGATAATCACAAAATACACATATACTAGCCAACACCAAAAGAATTGGATCATGGTACATGTAGCAACATGGGTGGACAGGCAGGGGAGTTGCCTGGGGTGGGAAGAGAACAGGGCACCTTTGGCCTGATGCAGATGTTCTTAATCAGGGTGACAGGATGATGGTTGGACATCTGTATGAATTTATTGAAGCCCATGGAGCTGTATGTTTATAATGGGTATAATTTTAGGAGGTAAATTATACCTCAGCAAAGCTATTTTTAAAAAGCACTCAGCAATAAACAGCCTTTTCTTTGGATCTATGTGGTACTTGGTTTAGTCCTGCCTGGGTGTTTATTTCTGTACTCACTTCGTCTATGTAGATGCTGTTGACTTTGGACTTGAAGTGAACCAATAATCTACAGATTGGTAGAGTGATGTTGTAAACGGCTGTGCTGGTGAGAGGTTCGGTGTGCTGGCTTCTGATGCCCTCTAGAGACAGCTGTCAATGGGCAGTAGTGTTGTCTCTGCAGAAATGAGCAGGATTGAGCACTGATTGTATGTGCATTTGCAGATTGTCTTCTAGTATGTGGGCAAGGGCTTGAAAGGGGGATCCTGTGTAGGTTGAAGACCCAAGCTCAGCTCGGTGTATCAAGGTGCAGGACTTGTCTGTTTTCTGTGGCTTTGTTCTGGGGGACATTGACGCTTCAGAGAGTAGCACGGGTCATCCCATACCTTTGTGAGGCGATTCAAAGCTCACAGCATCCTTTTATATTTAGTGCATCAGATTCATCAAGTTGGCCACAGGGCCAGAGGAGACCAGAAAAGACACTCCCAATGGGCAGCTGACAAACGACCCTAGAGAAGCCAAGTAAAGCACTCAGAGTTGGTACTTCAAAAGCAGTGGAGAGGATGATCAGGCCTGATTCTCATTTCTCACATGGAATGTTCTACATCCTGTCCCTGCCAGTCTTCTGGGTGCCACTCAGCTCTGAAGCACTCAAAAGGGAGGTGGTGCTGCTGGCCTAGAAGTGGTTGCCACGGAGCAGAGCCAAGCGTAGGCTACGTGGTTATGATGTGACCGTGCCCCCAAGTTGGTGAACAACCACCCCAGTAGGTATGTAAAAGGTAGTGAGGTTAGTTAGCAACAATTTATGGAGTCACATTTACTGAGTGGTTCCCTTAACTAGGCATTTGCTGTAGAAAACAATGACCTTTCTAGCACAGTAGTGGTTTGAAGGTGTGCAGACAAATTTCCTGCCTAGGATCATCTCTTAATTCTCTCTCACCTGGTTGTAGAAGGATCTTGGGGAAGCAGGCCTCACTCCGGGCTTGCAAAGCAAGTGTCGAGTTGACAGGCACTCCAGAGCAGTTTGATTATTATTTTGGTGAAGGTTTTTATTTTTCCTTACCTTCTGTGTGCTCCACAATGCCTGGGTTTTTATTTGGTATTCTGCTCCCAGCCTTCTCAACATTGTTTAAAGAGAGAAAGTTTGTGTTTACTGTAAAAAGATAATCTAGCTTTTCAAAGTTATTAGTCAAATACCCTGAATTTCTATGCGCCTGCCATTCATTTGTCAAGTTCCTAGTTTCTAATTCATGCTTCTTCCCTGGGGAGAAGAGTGTTTTGTTCATAAGGAAGGTATTTTCGGTGTAGGTCTGTTTCCTGCTAGTGAAATTAGTTTACTGAGAGGCCTCGGCCTAGATTGAGAGGGAAGTTTGACCTGATTAATTGGCCCTTGCATCCGGCTTGGAGGTGTCTTCACTAGCAGGAGATTTTTGTCTCCTGGGACTCTCAGACCTGGGAGCAGCCAGACTAGTGAAGTCAGTGATGAGCCTGCAGTCTAAAAATATCCCTTGGGTTAGGAGGTACTCATGATGGGACTGGTCCTTTCCACCATCAGTTTTCTGACTATCCTGACCACCCCCACCATCAATAAGAGTGAACATTGATGGATCCCATAGGGGGCAGTTTTGACCAACAGGTGTCCCAAGACTTAGCCTTGTGTGTTACAATCTGGAGTACATCCCTCAGTGTCTTAGGTTTATTCCAAGACACGGGCACGGTAGGGGAGCACTTTCTCACCAAAGCCCTGCCGGTTCATTGAGTCCCTGCACGTACAGACTCCACCGTGCAGGTGCACAGTGTGTATTGAAGTACTTGAGGAGGATGGGGCTTCAGTTTGACTGTATAGGTTTCCCTTGAGCTGCGGAAGTCAGAGGACAACCTTGTGGAGTTCGTGTTCCATCTTCCTTCACGTGGATCCAGGTCACCAGACTTGTGCTATAAGCACCCGTGCCCATATAGCCACCTCACTGGCTCTGGGGACTCTTGAAGCCAATGAGAATTCATACTCTACCTTATTACTCCTGTCTTTAAGAGTGAGAGCGCCTGTGGCTTGTGATGTGAGTTCATGGCTTTTCTGGCCCTGGATCTTCACCTCTGAACTCCTGGATGAGTTCTCCAGGAAGTGGCCAGGGCTACTTGACAGCATTTCAGCTGTAACTCATACCTGAGTCTGTGAAGGTCATGTTGAGGGTAGACTCACTAGTTAGTGGTTGTGATTTGGGTGAAGATCCTCAGTAGTACCTCCTGGACACAGCCTTTTGGGCAGAGCAGGGCTTTCGGGCTTTCTCTGGCTTGGCTACTCGTGGCTCTGCAGGGAAAGCTTTCTTGTTTGTTGGGTCTGTGGGGTCGATCTTAAGAATAGCTTTGAGAAAACCTCCAGGAGGAACAGAGGGAACTACGGATGGGAAAGCAACAGGGAGGAAGGAACAACTCACGGCCTGTGGGGAACAGACCTCCCTCTCACTTAACCGAGGACCAGCTACTGACACGCCGCCTAGAGGTCGGCCACAGGTTGGGCAGAAACAGGCCTACTGCAGGATCCTGCTGCAGACACCTAAGTAGAGTTCTTGCTCCCTCCCCCCACCTCCCCTACATGGGCTCACTGATACTAGGGTAGCCAAACATAGCTGTCTCCCTTTTGGCTGTGCTCACATCTTCCCTCTAGTGGAAGTTGGGCCTTGGGAACAGGGCCATTCCCAGCCTCTGGGTAGGCCCAGGACTGGTATATCAGCATCACCTGTTAGAAAATCCCGATTCCTGACCCACTCTGGACCTCTGCAGCAGAAGCCCTAGGGGTAGGGGGCCACTGGAAACAAGCTGTGTATGTAATACATCTGTAAAGAAAGCCATTGTGTTAGACACCGCATCCTACTATCTTAATGGGAGAGCCCGGGGAAAACACTTACTGGGTATTTTCCTTTTCCGTACTTTCAGGGACTGAAATGAAGGCTCCTTGCAGTGAGAGGCAAATGTGGAAGAGGGAGCAGCCAGGCTGTCTCCCACCCCATCATGCACTGCTGATTGGGCATGGGTAGGATTTATTCCCAGGGATAATGGCAGTCTTTGCTGCTAGTATGTAAGCTGTTCCAGTTGAGTAGCGGAGCATGTCTGTTCTCCTGTAGGCTGATTTTAAGCACATTGTACATACCTGGCTCTGAGAAAAATAACCAAAGGCATTTCTAGGGAATGAATCAGGAAACATCCTTCGGTGGGAGAAGCTTTGTGTGTCGGTAATAGAGGTCATAAAATTAATTAGTGTCCTATCGATCTCAAAACATTGTCCTTGGCTCATCTTTTTCCCAGTTTTCATGGCGACTGTCTGCTTTTACATAGCCCCAGTAGGCAAACCCCTTCCTGGTATGGAGCCCCATATGCTGCAGAGAGGCTCTGTGTCACTGGCGGAGGCCATGGGCTTGATGGGATGCTAATGTGGACTTCTGTGCTTCCAGGAACTATTCCTTCTATGTCCTGGACAACCAGAACTTGCAGCAGCTGTGGGACTGGAACCACCGGAACCTGACCATCAGGTCAGGCAAGATGTATTTTGCTTTCAATCCCAAGCTGTGTGTGTCTGAAATTTACCGCATGGAGGAAGTGACAGGAACAAAGGGACGCCAGAGCAAAGGAGATATAAACACCAGGAACAACGGAGAGCGAGCTTCCTGTGAGTAGCAGCCTTCAAACCTCTGTGGTCATCACAGTCAGAATAACTGTCTTTGGCATTCATGGGTGGGCCCTTTGTTTCACTTTGGGCAGTAAAGCCCCCTTCAAGAACATCTGGCTTCTGCATATGTCTTCACAGTTAGTAGTGGGCAGATGCCTGATACAATCAGACTGATAGATTTTCCTCAGCTTCTTTCTGAGGGTATTAAACATTAGAGTAGGTGCATGCACAGTTAAGTATCTTCTCAGGATGAGCAAACAGTGTTTGTCAAAGAGCCAGTCCACTCCAGCCCAATGAACAGGCCAGCTCTGCCTTTCTCTCCCTGCTGCAGAAGGCTCAAGGTAGATACTCTACTCCAACACTTCAGTGGACATCAGGTTTCCTGGTCCTCACTTGTTCCTCCTCTCTGTCCTATACCCCAAGAAAAAGAAGTGAGCCCTGAGTCCATAATGCTTTTCACATTTTGGATAATATAATAATGACATCCTGAAGATAAAGTTTTCACTTTAAGATCTCATACACTAGAGTTCAACCTGTTGGCCCAGCCCCTCTCCAAATGTGGTCCTGGGCCTGGAATGTCAGACTTTCTCCTCTAGCCCTGTATGGGAAAGTGCCCTGAAGTGCCACGGTTCTTCCAGGTATGGTGGTGCACTCCTATAACCTCAGCACTTTAACAGGCTGAGGCAGGAGGATTGTTAGTTTGAGGGCAGCTAGGGCTATATTGTAAGACACTGTTTTAAGGAAACAAAAAAATGCTAAAGTTCTATTTGGCTCTGTCTTTGGCTTTGGGGCATTAGCAAGAAAATAAGTCATATGACCAATGGGTAGTCAGATGTACTCATGCACTCACAGAGAGGGCTAGCCTTGTCTCTTAAGTATCCAGACTTACCTGATACCATCTGGACCCAGGAGGCATTGTGAGAAGAGTAGTGAGGCAGAGATGGGAAGTGTGTACATAGCCAGCACTGTGCCTTCCTGCAGAGGCCCCTACACTGTTCCCCATGAAGACCATAGCCAGTGCCTGTGATCAGAGCATTTCAAAGTGCTTCTCCCTTAGAAGCAGCCAGCCTGACCTGCCAGGTCAGGAATGCAGCAGCCATTTATTTTCCTTTGGAAGCACCATCAGGGTTTTCCCTCAGAGTGACACTTACGCAGGACCTGCAGTGCCCTTCGGGTTTCTGCTGGGTGCATTTTGCCCAGGAGACTTCTCAGTGTTTTGTTGTTCTCAATCTTGCCTTCTGCTCATTAGTGTGACAGTAGGACTCAGGCAGTTTGGGGGCTGAGGACAACTGGATGGTGAGGTTTGGGTGTCTGCAAAATGTAGACGATCAGTTCCCCACCTCTGCAGTTAGATGTAGTGCTAAAATCAAGACAGGCTCAGCAACTCACCATACCTCACTGCCAGGGTGCCCCTCCCACAGAGCACAAGGCTTACCCAGGTCAGTGCCCACCTAGTCTTATTCCTGTTAGAACACTCTAAAGAGGTCCTGTAGCGCCTAGTTTGATGCCATGTTCAGATGAAGAAAAGTTTCAGTTTGCAGCTTACTTGAGGTCTTACACCAGTCTTTGGTGGCTGCACAGAAGACAGCAGATGTCCATACCTACAGAGCACTTGCTGTCTGTCCTCCCAGTCCACACATACAGATTTGCTGTCATTTAACCAGGTCCCCTTTAGCCGACAGCATCCTATGGATGATCTGAAAGGTAAGGCCACCCTGTTCACTAAAGGGGACCTTCTCACAGCTTGAGAAATAATTACAGGTTGATGCCCCATTCCCTGGGCAGGTGACCAGTGCAGTGAACAGAACTAAAGTGAAAGGTGAACCTGTAGGGACTCCGCAGTGAAATGCTTCCAGTCTTGATGGGAAATAGGAAAGCTTCTAGAAAATCCAGACAGAGCTTAGCATGGACAGCTAGCCTCAGGAAAGAGGGAAGTAGTGCCCAGAACTCTGTCACTCATGGGTGTGCCTCTGTGCCCCAGGTGAGAGTGATGTCCTCCGTTTCACCTCCACCACCACCTGGAAGAACCGCATCATTATCACATGGCACCGGTACCGGCCGCCAGACTACAGGGACCTCATCAGCTTCACGGTGTACTACAAGGAAGCGTGAGTTTCTATGACGTCGAACTGGAGGGTGGGGTGGCCAGGCCGTTGGTGGTAGTATGACTTGGCTGAATAGAGAGTCACTGGGGTTCCTGTGAAGTATCAAGCCAGGTTGACCACTTCATCCTCATGAACTAGAGTGGCCTCTCTAGTTGTCACGTTACACTTTCCCAACCTGTGACAGCTAATCGGGAGAGTATTAGCTTCAGGCCTTTCACTGTTTAAGTGGTATTGGTGTTTGGTTAAGTTCAATCCAAAGAAAAAAGGGCTAAATTTTAAGAGAATTGGATCCATCCAAACTGTCATAGTCTTAAGATATGGACTTGGTTAAAATACTGTTTTAGCCTCTGTTCCCGAAATACCCCATAGGATATATTGCTCTCACTGAGGTTACCTTGAACTGTGCCATCGTCTTCCAGCCACTTTATGAGTGCATGGCCTCACTGAAACTTTGCTCCGGGTCATGGGCCCTCTAGCATTAAAGAGGAATGGAAAAGGGACTAACCTTAGTGTCAACAGTTTCCTGGGTCATCCAAGACTTTCCCCGTACCGGTAGCATCATCCTGCCTATGCAGTCATGATGTGCTTCACGTTGCAGCTCTCTGAACTGCAATGCCCCTCCTATTGCCCTACCTGGCCCCCTGTGGCCTGGTGGTTCCCCAGACTATGTGATCATCCGTCTTCCCAGATGCAAGAAGCAAAGGACCTAGGGTCCTTGGGAACTGTTACAGCCCATTAGAAATAATAGGAAGCTCAGAATCACTCAGTGTTTGTTTATATGGGAGCCCCCCCACCCCATTGTGACCACACACAGGTCATGTCAATATAATTTCAGGAGCCAATGGCCAGCAGCCCTTTCCTCTTATGAATGTAGACGCCCCGCCCACTGTGAAAGTGCTGCCAGTACACTGGTGATTTCACTAATGCCACTTTCTGAGACACTCAGCAAACAAAATATTTTAATAATTATGAGATAGTTAAGCATCAAAACCAGCTATTACCAACTTATATCTTAGACTTTTGGGGGGCTATGAGAAAGTTTTGTTCAAAAGTTATTCTTCATCAGTATCCAACGTTTGCATTAAACAGTTAGGCTTTTTTCTTATTTATAAAAAGAAAAAAAAAAAAACTGCTCCAGTTCAGAAGAAAAATCAGCATCTGCTTGTCTTAGTCGCAGCATTTTCAGTCCCTGTGTCTATAAAGCGTGCTGTCTCTGAGGCTGCTCGTTCAGTTCTGTGGTTTATAGCTGGTGAACCCCCGAGTCCAGATGCTTGATTTTGTTCTTGTGTAGAGATCTAACTGTTGAGTTTTATGTGGAATTCCCACTATAGAAAGTGCGGCACGCTCAGCCCCTGGAGAAAGTGCTTGTGAGCTGTGATGCCAGAGCCCTTCAACATTTTCTGGCCTTCGTTGATTGTCTTTCAGACCTTTTAAAAATGTTACCGAATATGATGGGCAGGATGCCTGTGGCTCCAACAGCTGGAACATGGTGGATGTGGACCTACCTCCCAACAAGGAGGGGGAGCCTGGCATTTTACTGCATGGGCTGAAGCCCTGGACCCAGTATGCCGTCTATGTCAAGGCTGTGACCCTCACCATGGTGGAAAACGACCACATCCGTGGGGCCAAAAGTGAAATCTTGTACATTCGCACCAATGCTTCAGGTATCCACACACCGGATGGGCCCCACCCACCCCCTGACTTTCTATACGCTTGCTGTAGTTACACAGGCACAGTATGGCTGTAGGGCTAGCTGTTGTAGCTGCTTAATACAGTGTTCCACTCTTCTCGCTGCTAACACCTTACATTTTCCTGAGCCTTTTTCTAGACTTGGTACCATCTTAATCATGTATCTCTGTTCTATGCCAACAAGGCCGTGTCCTCCTGGGTGGTAGAATGGTTTGTCTTTCTGGATGCCCAGGAGGTAGCCACCTATGGCCATTCTCTTCTGTTTCAATGCAGACTTCTAGGAAGTGGAATGGTGCTGACCTCTGCGCCACCTGCCTTTAGTGGCTTGCTGGCTTTCCGTCTTTCTTCTGTAGCCATCAGCACTCTCAGCAGGCAAATGAAGGCTGAAACACTGATGGGCTTAGGGTATTGTGATATCCAACTATTGACTAATCCCGCCTCATCTTCTCTTCATGTGCCTACAAACTAGTCCCCCAACTCCAAACCTAGAAATGGTAAAAGCAAACATTTGTGTGAATTTTTATACAAAGACTAGAGGTAGAAAGATATGCTTCATTGTAAAGAAATGGCCATCTTAATACATTTGGGTTATTACAACTGAAGTCCCATAGACTGAGTGGCTTACAAAGCAAAGAAACACATTTCTCACCATTCCAGATGTTGGGAAGTCCAAGATCAAAGCATTGGCAATTTGTGTCTGGTGTGAGCTGACTTCTTGGCTCATTGAGATCTATTTGCTGTGCTCTCACGTGCTTGAAAGAGCACACACAGGGTCTCTCACCTTTTTGCTAGAATGCCAATTTTGTTGATTAAAACTCTATCCCCATGACTTAATCGCTTTACAGAATCCCAGCACTTGAAGGCTAGGGTTTCTCCATAGAGAATTGTGGAGTGACACGCACATAGTCTGCAGCACTAGTACCACTTTCTGTGACTCTGTCACAGGGAGTTGTGTGTTAAAGTACTCCACACTAGTACAAAGTGGTGAAATGAGAAAATATTAAAAATAACTTCGAGCTCGTGCACCCCTATTTCTTCTACATGCACCCCACTTTAGTGATCTCATAAACAGTCACAGTCATGTCACTGACCCTTAAGGGTTCATAGCAATGAGTTTTCCAAGTGGGCTGCTTTGGTAGAATTTCAAGTGCAACCAAATACATTTTTCATCTTAAAATTTGGGAGTAACAATTCCCAGTGAATCATTGCAGCAGACTTGAAAAAAAAAAAAAAAGCTGGAATTTCTTCTTCTTACAGCAGATTCTTAAGAAATATGATTCTTCTTCCTAAATATTAAAAACTGTATTTTGGCCCCTGTCTTCATAAGCGCTCGGGGCTCATAGTGACATACTTAGTCCATCCTTTGCCATTTCATCTGGGAAACCAGTCTTTGAAATATCTAGTAATGAACTGTTTTAGAAATGCCTACTTTGGGAAACCCTTAAGTGGCCAGGCACGAAGTGGTTATGTTTTCTCTGCAAAGGCTAACATTAGTCCTGACCTCCCATCATGCCTTCCCTTGGTGGTTTTCAGAGCCTCCAACATCTCACATATCCTAAAAGCCCTGTGTTAGTTCAGTTTCTACTACTGTGGTGTCTGACTGGGAACAACCTGGAGAGGAAAGGATTTGACTTATATAACTAATCACAGTCTGTCGTTAAGGAAGCCAGGACAGGAACTCGAGTAGAGACAGGGACTAGGGAGAAGTGCTGCTTACTGGCTTCCTTGCTGTGGCTTTCGAAGCCTGCTTCCTTACAGAACCCAGTACCACCAGCCCTGGGATGGCACCACCACACTGGGATTTCTCCTCATCAGTGATTAATTAAGAAAGTGTCCTACAGGCCTGTCTATAGGCTGATATTGAGGCATTTTTTCACTTGAGGTTCCTTTTCTCAGATAGGTTTTGTCAGGTTGACATAAAATTAGTCAGCACAAGCCATTTTTTTCACTTTTCAGATTTTAAAAAACAGTTTGGTTAGACCTCGTGCTTAAGTGACATACCATGATCCAATTTCTTTGGAAACTGCCAGAAATGAATGGGCCTGGTTCTGTGTGTGTGTGTGTGTGTGTGTGTGTGTGTGTGTGTGTGTGTGTGTTTTGGAGGTGGGGGAATGCTTTGACTGTGGCATTGATTTTGCTGTGCGAACTCCAGTGAGAATGGGGAGTGGTCCTGGGGTGTTTTCCTTTTTACATAAGTCAATTCTACTTTTAAGCTTGGTCATTAGTAATAAGTAAGATTTAGATTACTAAACCCTTTTTGCTGGTAACAGAGGACTTTGCTTAAAATCAGGGCTCCTGTGCACTGCCTTTCCAGAGTCATGGCCTTCGCCGTGCCACACAAGCCTACTTACAGGATCTGTCACCCCATCCTTCTTACCTCTCCATCCCTTTCATACAGGGGCAGGCACACGCTGCCCCACACACATAATAGCCCTTACTTCCACTTTCCATTTTGGCTCCCTGTCATTTTTATTAGAGATTCTAATTTCCAATCACAGATGAAATACTAAACAGCCCAAATTGCCATTTGCTAAGACACCCCGGAGAGTGGCAGTTGTCATAAGCGAGTTAACAGGATGTTTTTACAGTCCACTCTAACCCTAGCTATGATCTCACAGCCTCTTCCATCCCAGCCCCTTGAGCCATGTGTGTTTGCACATAGATGATCTGAGAACAAGCTCTCTGAAGAGAAGGATGCCATCCCAGTTAGTAATCTTTGAAAACAAAACTCGGGCTCACTTCATGCTCTGGTTGGCCCATTGCTGTCTTTGTACTCTGGTCAGGCTTGCTGTTTGTTGGCAATGAATTCCTGATAACCTCCGCCTCAAATTTCTTTCTGTTCTCTGAAATGTCCTCTGCTCTTCTTTCCAGTTCCCTCCATTCCCCTGGACGTCCTGTCAGCATCAAACTCTTCTTCCCAGCTGATTGTAAAGTGGAACCCCCCAACTCTGCCCAATGGGAACTTGAGTTATTACATTGTGAGGTGGCAGCGGCAGCCACAGGATGGCTATCTGTACCGGCACAACTACTGCTCCAAAGGTGAGCTGGCCCAGCAGCCGGCAGGCCTTGCCTGTTGTCTGAGAGTACCTGAACCCTAGTGTTGCTCCTGTCATGTGCGTGCCAGGCTTGTGTCTCGGCAGCTCAGACCAGCCCCATTCCCACTCACAGTGCTCACAAATACGCTGGGCGCAGCTTTCATCCCCGTCCTGTTCTCTTCTGCGTAGACAAAATCCCCATCAGAAAGTATGCTGACGGCACCATTGATGTGGAAGAGGTGACAGAGAACCCCAAGACGGAAGTGTGTGGTGGTGAGAAGGGGCCATGCTGTGCTTGTCCTAAAACTGAAGCTGAGAAGCAGGCTGAGAAGGAGGAGGCAGAGTACCGGAAAGTCTTCGAGAATTTCCTTCATAACTCCATCTTCGTGCCCAGGTGAGAGTGTCCTTTCAAAGTGCTATATTTGGTGCAGTTCAGCGAGTCCCATCACTTTACTCCCCGTGGCACAGTAGGGCACGACACGGAACCCACCCAGAGGGGGAAACAAAAGATGATGTTAGTGTGGCCAGCAGAGCTCCTACAGAAGGCTGGCCCTGCAGGAAGGGCCCCGGGGCCTCAGCCACATCGCCTTTCTCACAGGGGGCTTGGGGGGGCTGTCGGGCAGGTGGGGTCATCTTCACCCAGTGGTGGAGGCACTGCTTAAATCACTTGACTGTCCTCAAGGAAACATGTAAAGGGAAAAGCTGAGGTTTGGATCCATCTCCGCCCTCCCCTCTTCTCTCTGTTGACTCCCTCAACCCAACAGAAAGAAGCAAGTTGGGGCTGTATCAGAGTCAATTTCAAAAGGGATCCAGACTCAGACCACAGCCATGTGCTTGGTGTGTCCACGTGTGCTCGGGTTTCATAACAGGAGTGGAATGCTGGCCCAGGCGTTCCCTCCATTCCTGTGTTCGGCCGTCAGTTTCTGCAAAGTGAAAATGCAAATGGAAGGATGGGGAGCAGGGAGATGCCTCAGTGGGTAAAGGCACCTACTCCTAAACCTAAACACCTGAGTTCAGTCTTCAGAACCCACGTGGTAGAAGGGGAGAAGTGACTCCCACAAGTCCTTTGACCTCTACCCTCATGCTGGTGTTGGGAGGATGGGGTCAGGGTGGAGAAGTAAGTATATTTAAATTTTGTTTAAAAGAAAGGAAAAGTTCACGGGCACTGCTCTCAAGAGGGTTTACCACTTCCAAACGGATGTTATCATAAAAGCAAAACTAAGCTTCCAACTTCCTGTCTGCCTTGTGCTCTCTCCTGCTCACACACACTTCTGCCATGATGCTCTGCTAATGGGACAGCGCAAAGGATGCCTTCATCAGGGCAGAGCACATGCTGGGCTTCATACTCTTCTTTAAAACTGTTGAGCTATGCATACTACCAAGCATCAAGTATCAACAACAAAAGAACTAATAAAGCTCACTCACAACCTGAACCCCTGGCAGTGCCTAGAAGAATCCTGGATTTGACTGACACTCAGTACAGGGTGGAGGTAGGGGAGGACTTCCTGCCTGGCCTCCCCGGGACACTCCAGATCTGGCCATTCTTGTGGTTATAGGAACTCTTACTAGCTGAGTGTGAAAGAAAGAAAGAGAAAGAAAGAAAGGAAGGAAGGAAGGAAGGAAGGAAGGAAGGAAGGAAGGAAGGAAGGAAGGAAGGAAGGAAGGAAGGAAGGAAAGAGAGAAAGAGAGAAAGAGAGGGGGGAGGAGGAAGGAAGGAAGGAAGGAAGGAAGGAAGGAAGGAAGGAAGGAAGGAAGGAAGGAAGGAA